TGTATTTGTAGTGCTTCGGCAATTCTTATGGCTGCGTTATACCGTTATTGTTATTGTTTTTTTGTTGTTGCTTTGCTGGTCTTATTTGCATGTTGTTTGCTGGTCTTAATGCTACAGCGTAGGTGTGTTGCTTTGGTTTTTGATGTCACCGCAAAGCTTTGCGCTGCGTTTCGTATGCGATACCTAGGAACACAGGTAAAGCTAATAAAGTCTGTAACGTTTTATCGAATAGCAGCCTTGCGATCAAGCTAGCGACTTACAATATCAACGGTAATGAGATCTGTAATTTTGTATGCAGCTAAAATAATAAGTATCTTGGACGTGGACATCAGGGCCGCAGCGCCTCCTGAAAGCTTGTTCAAGACCTAACACGCATACACAAAACGCAGATCCGTAGAGACTACGTATATTTAACAACGAAACAGCTTTTGAATATAAGTAATACGTTGTTGGAGTGTTCCTGCACATTTCAAGAGCATTCAACATCGTTCCTACGGAATCTATTCTGAATAGTATCGAGTCAATACCTGATATCAGTTCTTTAAGAAAGCTGTCAGTGAAGTATAGGAGAGAAAACTTAAGATGTCCCGTAACTCTCACGAATTAATATTTAATACGGTGCTTCCGTAAAGTGTCCTGATATGTGACCTAAAGTTTTTCTTTACCGAAAACTTTACATCTAACCCTTCAACAGCATGGGAGCCAATTTTTTGATGAAGAATACCATAATTTTGCGCCCTGATTACATGTGTCAATGCCAGGTCAACAACATTATTATATATTATACTTGTATAGCTTCCAATTCAAGTGAGCTCACAAGCCATTCACTTGCCAGAGCACAATTTGCCCTCGATAGAGGAATTTTCATTTCCGAAATCACAATTGGGCCCTACTGAGCACCATCCAATCATTGCCGAACCACAAAGCCTCTAGGCAACGACAAAGGCCTGCCATTAAGCGGGCCGGGGGCAAAGCAATCTCATGCGACAACCAACTGTGAACAGGTATTGAAATTGGAATTATGATTTAGTAGCGTATATGTATAAATTCAGCTGAGTAATGAGGTATTTTTCAAGCGCATTGAGCATGTGTGTGTGTCGGTATGTCTGTGAGTATGTTGAAGTCGAGAGCTCGGCGTCGATATCGACACATTAATAAGCTGACACAATAGTACAAATTGCATAAGACGAGCTCCAAGCTAACGAATTACGCAGAGCTTGTAGCCAAATTTATGCCTTACATGCTTACACACATAAACATATATATGGTATTTGTTGTTTTTGTATGAGAGTCTATAAACTAAATAAAAATATTTCATTTTCATAAGTCACAATCAAACAGCATTGAAACGGTTAATACCATTGATTATCAGCGCACCAACACCAACTCACAAATACACACACGCATAGGCAACTGCGTTAGCACGCATGCCGAATCATTGGTTTACAAAACACACTTTGCGGTCATAATTCAAAGATTGTTATAGGAGCTTATTGTTTTTGTATTAGCTTTTTGCTTCGCAGCACACATTGTCGGTGAATTGCAGCTGCAGGAGCTGTCAGGGGCCACTGCTTCCACATGGGGTATATGCAATAAATTGGAATTTAATCATAATTTCGGCAGGCAGTTCACCAATCACACACATGCATATAAGTCAACAAAATCCTTACATATCAACAACCCAAAATACATACACACACACATGTGGCATGTGTCCAATCAACAAGCAGCAGTGGCAGCCAGCTAGCCACAAATTCGATTTTAGCATTTCGATTTATTTCGAATGCGAATTTTGTGGGCTCATTTCGTTATTGACCGAGCACATGTTTCTATTTTATTTGCGCTGCTATGTCCCGTTCAATACATATACATATGTATTTGTGTTGGTTGTGCGACCAATTTATTTTCGTAAATATTTATTAATTACATGCTTTTGGCTGTCGCTTGTTGTTGTTGTTGATGTGTTTTTTTTACATATTTTCGCACTTGCTTTACCACAATTCACACAATTTGATTTGTTGGCTTTAATTGTGATTTTTTTCGGGTTTTTAATTAGAAGCTACGCAAATTGTTGTGTACTTTGGCTTCCAGGAAATTATCATGTCAATATTTTTAAGCGGCTTTAACAAGTTCAATGGCATTGCATATTCGGTAAGGACGGGCTAACTTCGATCACAATGAAATTTTTTGTTCTTTGAACTCAACTGGAGTATTTAAGTACTATTGGCGAAATGGTATTCATCGCTTTTATTTATTTTAATTTATGCTAAAGCAGTTAATGAAATTTGCTCAAACTAGTAGAAACTATGGTATAAAATAGAGTTTTGCTGCATGAAAAACTTTTGGGTCCAAAAAAGTTTTTAATAATTTTTGACCAGCAAGTTCAGCGTGCTAAGTGTTACAAAGGTTTTTTACTCCAGCGGTACAGTATCTCCGTAGCTTTAGTCAAACATATATAATCATGATTTCAATAAAATATTAAGCATGGAACCACCTACTGAATTGTGCTCGATTCTAACTAAATTATATATACAAACAAACAAAATTATATGTATACGCTAACTGTCTTCTATATAGCCCAATCAACAGTTTTCTTCCGAATCACCTTAGAAGTAGAGCTTTCAATAGCATTGAAGTGTCCTTTGAGAAATTAAGGTAATATTTCTGATAAAAAGCAAGCGATATCGCACTTTAGTTAGAAAAAAAGATGCCTCGGATTTAAAAAGTGTCAAAACAGTCGCGAATCTATCGCGCTTGTATAAATAACACCATTATAAAAAATAATTAATTGCTTTAAAGTACATATTTTCCTCACTTTCCAGCTGATCTAAATCTAGTTTTGTAACATATATAAAAAAAAGCTTTTTGAGCACCTTGTATCATGTAAAATTGATTTAGTAAAACGTGTCATCATACCTCACTTTTTATATTCCGCTTAAATCACTTTCTCTAATATTTAATGTCTTAAAAAAATTTTGTATTGTTTTTATGTAACGGAAATAAATTACAACTTCTGGATCTAGTTGAGAAATTGAGAAATAGGTTTGATATATTAGCGAAAATCCTTGCTGCCCTTTGTCACTCCAGTAAAGGCGGCAAAGTAATATCGTTGGCATTTATTTCATATTATCCTTAAAAATACAAACAACCTATCTATCAGTTAAAAAAAATTTTACTTCGAAATTTATTCACCAAACAAAAAAGAGATCCCGCTAACGAATGGATACACAAAACAATAATTTTTAGAATTTTTCACAATCACGGTTAGGTCGTAGCGTTAAGAAGGTAGCGTTGGATCACATTTAGGCAGCTGTGAACGTAGGTGCTCTGTGATACACAAAAGCTCTCAGATGTGGGCCTTCAGATCCCCATTCCGGGTTGCTGTAGGTGTGAGAAAGTACCAATATAATTCTAAATCTCCCTCCTCCATAGAGCTTGGACAAAAAGCGTCTGACAAAATATATAGCCGCACCGCACAGCCTATTGGACAGTGCCCAGTAACTACACTTTCGATTTCGGCTAGATAGACTGTACTGTAGTAAGTTGTTCAGAGAACCTCACACAATTCGGGTTGTTGACCGACGCTTGCCGAGCCAGTGCGAGATCCATAGGTTCAGCTTCAGAGCGTGACAATATTAGTCCAGATATGTTTCAAAAAATTTAACTTCACTACAACGACAAAGGCAGCTTTTAAAACTGGTAAAAAAAATTTAGCTGCCCTTTATAAGAAGCTGAGCTCTGATGAAGCTCCTGGTTTATTATTACTTATAGGGTTATTTTTTGGAAAAAGTCTAATGATTCAGGGGAGAGAGAAATCAACGGTGGAAAGGGTGAGGTGCGCAAGTTTCATTGAAGGTGTCGCACGAATCGTCAGCGATTTGTAATTAAAGATAGTGAAAGGACATCCTTAGTATTTAATACCGGTTATTGGGGATATTCTGGTTTAGCGTGCGAAAATATTCCCCAAAACATTTTGAAGAATGCTGGCGTATATTCACTGCATTTTAATAAAAATACTTTAAAACATGGATTTCTAGACTCTCTACTTGGCATATTGATTTTTCAACGACAAATGGCAGCAAAGTCTTATCTACCTGCTTTTGTCTCTCATAGACTACCTGAGATAATCAGAATTCCCATATTTGAAGGGAAAACAGCTATTTATAATATATGAAATTATTTCATAATTTGCTTCTTGGATCTTTAGAGATCTTAAATAGAGGTCATAATAATATGGATAACAGAACTTGAAAAATTAAACAGAAAACTATGTACAGGGTCCGCTATCTGTTCCAGTGAATAAACTTTTAAATCGAAGACTTTTACATAGGAAATATTTATTCAATTTGGCTCATTTATCCGGATTTCAATAACTTTTTTGAGCATCTCGGTGGACATGACGCCGACTACGCTATGAATGATTAAGTCAACTGTCGTGGATGTGTACACGTTGTGTTTTAAATTAATCCAAAAATAATGATAGGAGGTTCCGATCTGGAAATTAAAAAAAAATGTTAATGTCACTCACTTACTTTTGTCTTTAGACGTTATAGACATTTCTTTCGCAGAAATTTTTGTTTTAGTCAGAATTGTGATAGTGCAACGCTTGTTGTAACATGTAATCATCAGGACCTTTATCAAAGCTATTCAAATTACATTAATTAAGTAGATCTAACTAGTTCAATCGGTTAGCAAGTTTTAAAGTTGTTTAATGGCTATATAATGACACAGGCTATGTAATGACACACCCTGTGTGTATCAAAGGAAGAAAATATTAAAAAACAACAACAACCTAACAACAACAAAAAAAAGTTTAGAAGAAATCTAAATTAATAAAATCTTTAATAAATCATTGTTTTTTGGAATTTTTTTTCGTTTAAGCCTGTTCTCTTGTATAAAGCACGATCTATAAATACCCTTTCGCTTATTGTAAAACTTATTCTAATTTTTTATAATAACTGTTTAGACAGCTATTTCAATAATTTTTAGAGTTCACTCACCTTGATTTCGTGTAAGAAATCCGTTTCGTCCAGCAGATTGATGCGCACGGACATAATCCGCGACGGGCGGCAGAGGCAATTCATCTTGCTGCTTTTCGCTGAACTTCTGTTAAATTATACACACTTACACATGCACACCGTTCGATTGCTGTTACTCTCGCATTAGATACTAATAAACATACTCACTTACTGATCATTCGCTTTTACAAACGTTTTTTAGACACATACTCGCTTCGCTTAATAAATTATAGCACTCATTTATGATAAATTATGATTTCTATATATGTGTGTGTGTATTATTTATGCTTTTTTTGATTATGGTTTCACTTAATTCTCATTTATTTCGCCACAACTATTTTGATTAAACTCACATTAATCATGCTTTTTTTAATGCTTTCTTCGACTGTATCTGAAAATAAACGAAAAAGAGATAATACAATTAGAATGAGTTAAAATTTTTGTGTGATTTAAATACATTTATAACAAAAATGTATTGCATATAAATCTGGATATAGCTGGGGTACAGATTTCGAGAACCGAATTTTTTGTTCTGATTAGCGCATCTATGGGCTTTGCTATATTTTGTAAAGTGGAGTAGAAATCGAAGCGATCCTGAACCGAGAATTTCGGAAATTAGAGACAATTCTCAGATTCGAATCAGGACGGCGGAAGTACAATCCGGGCATTCACTATCAAACAAAACTGCGGTATTGATATTTCTATTATTACAATTTTCTAAAATATTCACGTTAAATTTTGTTCCATCCAAAAATTCGTAGCTAAAGCCCTCAATGACTGTATAAAACACAGATCGGGAATCTAAAAATTTTGGTAGCGGATCAACTTAGAGTCATTACATTGGATAATTTATGATGACTTAAACCTGTTTCCGTACAAAGTTCAAATAACCGGCCGGTTAAATCCTCTAGATTTGACTATTTGCCTCGAATTTTGTCAAAAAATTATTGAAATCGCTAAAGAAGACAATAACTTGATAAATTGAAAGTATTTGCTGCTTTTTAGCGGGTACATATGTAGAGCCAGTTTATAACAGGATTTTCAAGATCACGTGGAAAATCGGCTAACGATATAGAAACGAGATCGAGCTGCTATTGCGAATTTCAACCAAAAGACGTCGTCAGTTGTCTTAGCAGTTACGTAGCACAATATATCTGTTTGTATACATACAAGTGTATATAATAAGACTATAAAGTGGCATTCAACTAAGCAATGTGAAACTCAAGGCTTGACCAATCCTACAAATAAATTGTAGCGAAAAGCGCACGGAAATTGGAACAATGTCAGATCGGTATATGTATGTATGTACTGTATGAATATACCAAAGTAAGTATTGTAAAAAATTTACAAGAATTTTCTCACCCTACCTAGAATAATTCTACACTTGTTTTATAAGTATTCATATAAATATGTACATAGATGTCTATAAAAGTCTAAATGATTATAATGCAGGCTAAGGTGTTATTCACAATGCTTGTTCAAATACATTTTTTGAGCTTTCTGTATTTTTTATAATAAATGGTGTTTTTTGGAACTGGTTTTAAATGAAGCAATATTTTTTTGAGTCTTTTTGACAGCTGTTGCTTGGCTTGTACTCAGTGCGGTTTGCTTTTTCATAATGAACAGACTTGCTCCGGAACAAAGCTTGCAAATCGTGAAAATTTAATACCAAAACAATGGTTCATTTCAAGCGACGCATCGTCCAATATTCGATCGACATAATCGCCCAGCACAGTCGGTAATTTGATCAACCATGGATCGATTTGGCACCACGTTTACTCTAATGGATAATGTGCATCCTCAGAGATGCCATAAACTGCGCATCGAAGACGCCATTGCTGCTGTAGAGCAGAGTATTGAAGAAGATCCGAATGAGTCAAGTCGTCATCGCGCGCTACAATTGGAGCTGTGCCCTTAATAGAAGATTATGCGGGAGGATCTTGGTTCCGGCTTCAACAAAATTTAACTCGTGACCACCGAGCCCGATTTCCACATGAAAATTTTGTGCAGCGATGGTTCACTTTATATCTATTACAATTAATGGGGAATGCTATGAAGCCACTTTTAATTAGTATTTCGTGCCTGAATTGGAGGATGTTAATGTAGACGATCCTAGGTTCCAACAAGACGGCGCCATGTGCCATACAGCCAACGAAATAAACAAGTTTTTGGTGTAAACTTTTGGTGAGAACATTATCTCGCGTCGCGAACCTCTGCCGTGGTTTCCAAGATCATGCGATTTAACACCGCTTGGCTCTTTTTTGTGGAGATACGATTAACGTTTTCGGAGAAAATTCGACGCGTTATTGGTGATGTACGGCCCCAATTGTTGCTTACCTACTTAATTGCAAGTCCTTATATTTAAAATAAAGCCAAATTTTTGGCCATTACATCAATTTATATACGCTTTTTTCTCGAAAACCACATGTCTAAAAAAATAAATTTCATAAACCGCTAAAAAAGACATTTAGGCGCTTAAAATCGTTAAATTTAATTTTTTTTCCATGTATTTTTTTTTTAATTACTGACAACTTCGCTTGCGAATGCAAATCTATGTTATTCGAGCGAAGAATTGTAAATAATACAGCCTAGAACAAACAAGCGCTTACTGTGCGCCTACTTTGGCTAGGCGCATAATTATTATTTATTTTCTTCGTTTGCTCGAGATTAATTCAGTGTTTATTTACTGGCGCTGGCGGCGCGTGAGATAAATTCGCAAACAATTGTTCGCTCGAGAATTCTAGAGCGCGCTAGCAAGTTGGACTTAGGTATACAGTTGAGCACTTATAAGTGCATGCAGGCATAGTACTTATAAGCATGCTTAGTGTGGCATGTACGAAAATATTTGCTACAACTTGACTATAAGTATACATATGTATATGTATATGTGTGTATGAGTGTAAATAAAAATAGTTCTTGTTGCAAGCAGTATGGTAAGTGTGGCAGTTACAGCGCGCCAACTGGTGCATGCCACACTCAACAATTTGCGCGCACTCGCCACCTGCAACATGAGCGGGACGACTTCTACTCGAGTACATTTACTATTGATGCCAAGAGAGTGGGGGAAGGGTGCACAATGCGTGCGATTTTCGTGGATTAAGCGACTGCCAGAACTTTGGCGAATGAAAGCTGAAGCAAGCAAGCAACGGATAAGTGTAGAATTTACATTGCAACAACAATAAAAATACTTGTACTTCTATTATTTATTACCACCTCTTGCTTATTGTTGTTGTTGTTCGTGCTAGTAACAGCAAAAACTGCAAGAAATAGTTCGTAAAGTTAATTAACCACTTAAAAAATCAGGCCAAATCGCAAACGTGGCATTTCGCTAACGAATTCTAAGTGCACAAGCACTCGGCTCGCCCTTTCGCTTGCGCAAGTGAAAATACTCATAGCCGCGGCAGTGGATATCCGCAGCGAATTTTCTTGCCTGCATACATACATACAGGTCTGCGCTCGTAAATAAGTCAACCTAGAGGTGGAGCACCCGTGCGCCCAGTCACTTGAGCGCTTGTTGTAGGTGGCCTCTTACTGTTATTGGTGGAGCTGTAATTCACCAGTAAATTTGAATGACCAAACGACCCACTTTTCCAAAACAAGCGTCCGTTTCCAATCCGGCTTCTAACGGTGAAATTAGAGTAGCCTGCGTCCATAATTGTGCTTTTTGCAGCGAAATTGCAGTTCTTATTTCGAATTTTGACTATGTTGCAAGCATTGTGCGCCAGCTGCATCATATTGTTTTTTTTTCGGCAATGTAGCACACAAAGAAATCGAATTCGAAACATTGTTGGTAAGAGGAAAATGTTGCAAAGGAATTGTAACACTTGATGTGAGGACTCTTTGGAATTTTAATTACAACCTCAGGGGCCATACAGGGTCATATAATCGGGAAGAATCACTCGAAGTGCAAAACAACTGTAGCCAGCTAAAAAAGCAAAGCACCAAAAAAAAACTAAGTCCTGACTTTGGTTTTATTCAAAGAAGAATAAGACTACCAGATCTGACAATTAAGTTATATATATATTGTTCAAAATCTTTAGTTTTGGAAATTGAAGAAATTATGACATATTGATAATCTCTTCTAGAAGGAGGCAACTCTAGAAGGAAATATGAATCATATTGGTATCACATTTTAGAAAATGCTGTGTATTAATATCATCATCCCCAATAACAGTGTGTCCTGTCATCTTATAAGTACTATATGCTAATAATTTCACTATTATATAGTAGTTCAGATATAGAGCCATGTTTTGAGGGACAAAGCTTAGAATAATTAATATTCAGCGAACTTTTATCGGAGGAAGCGACGACGAAAGAGAAAAGGCAGCAAACTGTTTATGCACGTAAAACGTTTAAAAAATAAAATATAGCATGTTAGATCCTAATTGCATTGAGTACAATGTGTAACAACCGAAGTTGAGGTTTCCGATAAAAACCAACAAAAGTCTCCCTCTATGAACACAGCCTAATGTGTCTAATAGAAACAGTTTGCTCATGAGCATCAAGTCTAGCTGTGGCTAGATTGCGTTCTTTGATATGAATACAGTAATCTCTCCAAGTTAAAATTGATATGAAATCGAATCATACCATATGTGCATTCAATAACTGTATGGCTACATATATTTATATGGCTCTAGAAACACCCAGGAAAATTGACTTTAGAGGTTTTGAAAGAAGGATGCTGAGAAACTGGTATCTGAAATATTCGCAATGTGTTTTTCTAAATTAGGCCTACTAAAATATTCGAATAGATTACGGTTGGCTTCAAATTTATGTATATACTATAAATAGAGGGAAACCTGAGGTATCTTTACGGAAATTTTGAATAAGTAAACTAAATTTGTCAAAGAGATTCAAATTGAATATGGGCAAAAAATGCTTAAAGCAGTAAAAGAAGTTTAAAAAAATGGGCAAGCTATTCATCAACTTATATCAATGAGAATGAAAGAAGCACGGAACAAAAGCGCAATATAGACAAGCAGACATAATAAATACTCATGTATATAGAACAAATTTTTACACTTTTACCTCCTTGCCACAAATCACATGCCTTCAAGTGACATTTTGTTTTAGTGAAGAATTGGAGTACTAGTGTAACAATTTCTACACCGTAGTTGCCTTACTTTTAATAAAAATAATGCTGCAAAACAAAATCAACTTCATTAGGTCGCCTATGCAACTCGATGATACTCCATGGCGAGTGTGTGAAAGCTTACCGCCAATTCAAATGAAAGCAACAAAAACCCTCATTAGTTGCAATAGCAAAAATTGCGCCTGTAATAGAAAGCATTGAATGGCAGCAAGCTTTCGCAGCGTCAAATTTAGATACGTAGAAGTATTTATACTATGTGTGTGACTAGGTATATGATGCAGAAACTATTTTAATGATGT